TCTTGACCCACAGGATGTCTCTAGGATTACGTAGAATGTGATTGTGATATGTAATATTGTTGAGGATCACTGGATTATGTGTGTATATGTATTGTACTTGTTTGTTAATGAATTGATATTTTATTAATTAGTACAATATTATGAGACTAGCACAAACACACATATATTGTTGAAAGGTATGTTACCAGGCAATGATTGACTCACTCACACGAGCAATCACCTCAAACGTTATAGTAAGCGGGTTGAGATGAGACGATATGTACTCTAAATGCTGGAAGAGCAGTTTAGTACATAAAACGATTTAATGTCGCCTTGATTGGAATCAAGATGAGGTCTGTAATTCATATATGATAAGACCGAACATGATAGTCCCACAATCATGTATACTTGAAGGTAGCCGGATGCGAGTACTAAATTGGGCGCTGTGGAAAGCGAGCTGATATAGCACTTGGGCTAAACATGAGTACGTGAGAAGCACGTGACCATGTTTAGGCTAAGATCCGTATAGTGGATATGACTAATAAATGACATACGCTCTTATAGAAAGAGAAATTCACTATAGCATGTAATTCATACTACATGTGCTTTATTTGACCAATAAGGGAGATGAGTATAATTATCCCTATTTATTCATCGTGTGAGTCCTTAAGGTAATTTATAATTTATCTTACTTTGTGCTCTATGTTACTTCTGACTATGTTCTCGAAGTAGAAGATCAATGTTGCTACTTTAGTATGTTACCAGCGGTCATGAATAGATATGACTTTATGGGACGTGTCTAGGAAAGCAGTTGTTCGGAAATGGAGAGAGACATGAGTGCGAAGGAAGACTATTGTTATTTTACATCTATCACATATATTTACCGGTCGACCGATTATTTCGCCTTTGATGGTTTTGGAAATAATTGTAAATTCATGGTGTCCTTGAGAATAGTCAAGTATAGCCTTTAAGGGATAGGTATACTTGGATTGATGAAACAAAATATGTCTGGGGCACTGTGAGACATCAATTGTTTATTTCTTCTTTAGGGTTGTAGCCATTATGTTATCCCTAACAGGTGCATAATTAGAGCTCCCAAGGGCAGATGTACTCACTGGTCACACGGCTTTCTTGCCAGTATGAATAGTTTCTAAAGTAGATGAATGATGAATGCCTTATGTTCTTGATAGAGCATGATCAAGCCCATCATGTGCGAGTGGGAGATGTTATATTTCGTCGGTCCGCCCATGATGAGTGTAACCAAGGGACACCATTTGCTCTAATTATAAGTGTATCTAAGAGACACCTTTTGAAGAGGCACGAGAGGAGTTTCTTAAGGGAAGTTAAGATAACTTCCTCAGAATGAACATCGAACAAGAGATAAGAAAATGCTGAAAAATCAGAACTCTCTCTCTCCTCTCTTCATCAAAGAACGACGCATAAGGATTCCATATCTACTTCGAGAAGACAATCGGCATTAACGCTGTGGAACGAGAATACTTTCCTTGTGATTGTATTCGGACCAACGTGAAGTAGATTCGTTTATCGTTTACTGGTGATTCAACATACGATCCTAGAAAATTGGTTTGGAGTGCATTGAACAGGTTAGTCGATTCTCCTGACACTCGCTTTCTACAGCAACGCCATAGGTCATTGATCGTCTTGAGGTCGGCTGCAACGATGAATTAGCCTCGGAGAAGAAGACGTAGCCGCGCTTGATGGCAGCGTCGCCGGCCAGGGCGATGAGAAGGCAGCGGGTTTCCTCATTGGCCTATCGAAAGTTCTTGGCGACGAGGTGGCACTCACGGAGGTGGAGGGAGGTGGAGGGAGAGGGGGTGGTGGAGGTGGCGGCGTCAATGGTGGAGGAGGAGGTGATTGTGGGCGAGAGAGAAAAGGTGGTAGTGGTGGAAGGTGAGTGGGAGGAGAGAGTTTTTATTTCTATTTTTATTGCAGAAATAAAGAAGAAGAAAATTTCCACTTCTCATTTCTGTTCGAAACCTATTTCTTGGCTAAAAATTTGTCCCGAAAATTGAAAAATGAAATTGCGTTACCAAACGGATTTATATTCCAAACCTGTTCCTGAGAACAAAAATAAGAAAACCATATAAACAGAATGGTTATCATGCGCGTTCGAACGAACTCAGTCTCAGCCTTAGTCACGGGGCACAGCTCCGATAACACCCAACCCGGCGCAGCTCGGATCACTGTTCATCATCGTGAAAATAGGGAAGAACATAGCAGAATAAGATATGAGGTTATTCAAGGCAAATTTGGTGATTCCGTGGAGTGCCGCCGTGAGTAGAATGGTCCCCAAGGATAGGATCGTGAGCACGAAGCGCTGACGTTAAGTGGGTAGCCGACGGAAGACACAAAAATGAAGACAATGAATGGGCATGAAATGGCAGACGAGTACGCTGGCCCCTTTTTTATCTATCAAACTTATTTGTCCAATTTCGATACGAATCCTTTGCCGCAATAGTGATTTCTTGACTCCGATCGCGAGGAGCATGACAATGGTAGCAAGTGGTCCTCATCACCAGGAGCTCAAAGGGCAACATTGGCCATGGCATGGCCGGGCCTTCGCCGCCAAGTACTAACACGTCCTTGAGTTGGTTGTTCTTGCATACAGCTCTAGTCACCCCGGCCGCCCCTCTGGTGGCTCTTCTTGTTGATCTTGCTGGATGAAAAAGAATATGAACAGGAAAGAAGAGAAAGGAATAAATAAAATCATTGCCTTTGGATGAAAATGCCAGAAGATATGGCCGACCAGCGAGGTTAGGGTCTTATTTCAAATTGTCATGGCCACTTAAAAACGTAGTTTGAAACAAAGTTCGTTTTGGGGCTTTTTTTGAGAAAATGAGGTCATTTCAAATTCTTTTTTAAAATTTTCCCTATATTTTTGCATTTTCTACATTAGAAATTATTATCTTAATGATAACTGTATATAATTTATTATAGGGAAAAAGTCACCAAATTATACCCATCCTGACACATTTACTCTCCGTCAAAGTTTTGTCAATGAAAATCGTTCAAAATTTGCATACACGGACGACAAAAAGCAAATAGTGTTGACATGATGCCCATGTGATTTAAGTAAAATAAAAATGACGTTTTGACTAAAAAATCATATAACAGAACATTAACGAAAAATAAATGTGTCTTATAGGTACAAACTTGGGGTCTTCTATGTCACAAGAAAAAAATTATGGTAAATATGCCACAGTTGACTTAGTTTGATTTTTGAAATCACAAAAAAGTTCAAAGTAAATGTGTTGTAGTGAGCATAATTTGAAATTTTTTATGACTTTTTGCTTTATTATATATAAGATTAACCTTCCTTTTGAAAAATTTTCGGACTAATATAAACATATTTCAATCATGAAATTCTGTGTTCCTCAATCTAAATTCCAAACCCGTCACTGTTCGTAACGTGAATTGAAAGAGATGGAAAACTGCCTAAAATGCATTATTTTATCTCGTCAACAATGTGACATTAATTGAGTTACGTAAAACGTTTTTCCGCCTAGTTGTCAGAACTTCACATGGTCCTAAGATGCATTGGTCTATTGATATGGTGACATGGCTATGAAATGTGATGTGGATATGGTGACATGGTTATTAAATGTGACGTGGACAGTCACGGGACATGCTTAGCCCAAGATCGAATGATGGCGCACAGGACTCAACCAAGAAACTACAAGTCCCATCGTATCTTCTTTATTTTTCAACCAACCAGCACTGTGATATTTCATTTGTTGTGTTTAAAATTCACATGATTAATTATATGAAAACGAATTTCTAGAATTACGATTTTAACTACTTCGCAACTATATAGTATCATGAATCATGAATTTGTTTAATTATTTAGTATCTATGCTTATATACCTAGCTAGTTATTATTTTCTAATTATTTTACACTTTGTCCCAACAAAGTAGATGACTCGAAATGTTAAGATACATTGGTCTATTGACATGGTGACATGGCTGTTAAATGTGACATGGACATGGTGACATGGTTATTAAATGTGACGTGGACAATCACGGGACATGCATAGTCCAAGATCGAATGATGTCGCACAGGACAACCTAGAAACTGCAAGTCCTGCCATGTCTTCTCTATTTTTCAACCAACACTGTGATTTTCCATTTGTTGTATTTAAAATTCACCCGATTAATTATATGAAATCGAATTTCTAGAATTACGTTGTTAACTACTCTGCAACTATATAGTATCATGAATCATGAATTTGTTTAATTATTTAATATCTATGCTTATATACCTAGCTAGTTATTATTTTCCAATTATTTTACACTTAGTCCCAACAAAGTAGAAGACTCGAAATCTTTTTGTTATGTGCAGAGTTAGCAGATGAAGAAGTCTCCAGGACGATGTGAATGTGACATGCAGATTAATTATTAGTAATTATTGATTTGCTACATTTAGCATGTACACATATTAATCATTGAATACTGTTTGCGAGATATTCTTTTTCTATTCGGAGAGGCTTTTATACATGTTCTGTCTCTCTCGAAATTCACGTTGCTTGATAATATATGATTAATAATATCTCTTTTTTTGCAATGATATAATAAAGCAGTCAAGTCACCTGTATCATGTTATGCCTGTCATAGGATTGAATAATGCTAGATTTGCTAACATGGGTTCGCAAAATATCCCTACTATGTAAAGTGGCACACCTTAGTTAGATGTTAAATATAAATAAATAAAACGAAAGAGTTCGGTTTTCCAACATCACTTATAATGTCAGCATTTATGGACTTTATTTATGGACGATGTAGTGGACAAACTGATCTCGGGGCCTAAGAAACTTGTGTTTTGTTAGTGGGACCTAGCATGAGTCTTAGATATTCTTAAAATGAGTTTCACTTGAACTAATAAATTTAGTCTATGGATTTTGATAGGATACATAATAATGGTGATGTGGGTAGTCATGACTTGAAAGATTGACCAGCTATCCAAATTATTAATGGTGATGGAAGTGGATTGCGTAAAAAAGCAATATGTAAGTTGTGTATTTAAAATTAATTTGATCTAAACCACGTAACCATGCCAACATGAGAAAACAACATAAATGCATCAGTCATTTCATTGTTAATTCGGGAAATGGCTGTCGTTGCATTTTAAACATCATCTCCATATCCCGAATTAGCATCACAATGCGAATGCTGGTACGCCGGAGCACCATAGCTCCCATCCGACCCGGCCGCAGGGAATTTCGCCCCGTTATGAGCCCCACTGTTGCCGTCAGCCGAGGCTCGCTCGAGCGACCGCACTTGGTCCTTCAGGAACTTCACGTAGTGGATGGCCTCGTCCAGCATCGACGCTGTGTCCATCTTGGTCCCGCCCGGCACGAGCCGCTGCAGGATCCTAATCCGCTTGCTTATCCGCTCCCGCCGGTGCCGCGCCGCCACGCTCTGTGGGTCCTTCGATATCCTCACGTTCCTCCTCCTCTGCGGCTTCACCGCCTCCGGGTCTAGGTGCACCGGCTGCATTGCCGCGATCCTGAATATCATCTCCCTCATCGCCGCCATCGACGGCAATTGCGAGCCATCGGGCATGCTCCGGGGCGGCGCATTCAGGGTCTGTTCATAGAACGGGAATGGGGTGGAGAACGACGTCGGCGGGGGTAGGTTTGGGAATGAGTAGGGAGCGACGAAATGCGGGCAAACGTCAACGCCATTGTCCCCGAAGCTTCTCATATCCATATTGGCGGTGTTGAACTCGGGGGGTGTCAGGTTGGCCAACTCTCTGCACATACCGTCGTAAAACTCGGGCGGCTTTTCCATGTGCATTGTCATGAGCAGGTCCAGCTGGTTTGGTGTGGCTGAAGAATTCAGCTCATCAACATTATTCATGGCCTCTTTCTCTCTATTTTCTTGGAGACAGAGACTCTGTCTGTGTGTGTGTGTGAACTTGAAGTGGAGTGTGTTGAAAGTGCACTGATGAGAGGTCTGATATGGACAGACAGAGGAATGGGGAAGAAAGAGTTGGCTTGAAGAGAAACTGCTGAGCCTTGAGGGTAAGGAGAGAGGGAGAGGAGCAATGAAGGAAGGAGGAATAGAATAGTGTTATCATGGACTTACTACTGTCCATGTAGTGGAGGTGATGACTATATATATATATATATATATATAACAGTTCGCGACTTCTAGTGCTTGAATAATATATGATAAATCACACATTTAGGGTAGAAATATTCTTTTTTTTCCAAGGTTGTGGCCCTTCTTACTAATGTAGATTCGTTGAGCTTTTGTTTTTATTCGTACACTCTAATGTCTTTTCATCTATATGGGATGTGGACAAGTTTCGCGTCATATCATGAGGCCTACCGGCCGCTGTATGTGCGGCCAACATCGTCATAACAAGGGACGGAATTCTATGTCCATTTCTCCTCCTCCTCCTCCTCCTCCCTCGCCGGACCCCAACCTCGGCGGTCGCCACCTCTGGCCGCCTCTACCCCCAGGTCTGCCGGAGACAACTAGGGAGGTATCTTGAGCAAGTATGTTTGGGAGGGCGAATGTGTAGTTGATCAGTTGAGAAACTTTTTAGTCGGTATATCATGTTGATTAGTAGCTAGTTTTATTTAGTGAGTGTTATCGCGACCTCCCCGAAATTTAGGTCTCAACAAGTGTATGATAGACGATTTTGTCATAAAATCATGTAATTTATTCGTGCGTGTGATTAAAATCTAATTCATGTAACAAAGATGTTTTCTTTTCTGTTGTAATAGATAGATGTCTTATATTAAAAAATATATAGTGAAAGATATTATAATCATTCTTGATAGATTCCTGATTCGCTTGATAATTTTATAAGTATTTATAATAACTCTTGACTTTTGGGGACTATAATCACAAGATCCACAGTGTAATTCTTTCTTTAAATCTCTTATAAGAGCCAATGGATGCAAATTTTCATAGAAAATCATGCACTTACCGTAGACACACTTATCGAATCCTACTCTCTCTCTCTCCGCATCACAAAGATCGATTAATTTGATTAGCAAAGGTGGACGCACACTCGAAAGAGACAAAACCTAGCTTTGATACATGTTGAATAGTTAAACCAAAAAGTTTAAGTTAACAAATGAAGGGAGATCGCGTGTATCTAAAAAGTATATAAACCCCATCATCAAACAATGCGGGATATTTCAACAATAATACTGATAATAACTAGTATCGGCGGCAATTTATTATGATGCCCCGCTATTCCGTCTTATTCGACGATTGTGCTCTTCCTTCCCTAACATTCATTTCACCGCTATTATTGTCATCATCATCGTCATTACTATTATTATTATATTCACATCTTACCTTCTAAGCATAAGCTTGGGCAAAGAAACGGACTGTCCTAGACTAGAACCACCTAACGTTAAAATTGAACCTTATATTACATGCATGCCAACCCATCGTGACTTTGACCACCCCTACAAAAATTTCAACCCCTTCCTCTTTCGAAGAAACCCTAGCCAACCATCTAGATCTTTGTACTCTAGTCCGTCGATCGCCACTATTCCATTCGAAGGTTAGAGGACCACTTTGCCGAAGAAGTATCGTCTTTCACGATCCTCCACCACCACCACCACCTTCCGGCAACGACTCTCTCTCTCTCGCATGACACCACCTTTGTGATCTGATTTTCTCTCTCTAGCATCATACTTCTTCTGCTATCTCTTCTCTCTCTCTCTCTCTCTCTCTCTCTCTCTCTCTCTCTCTCTATAAATATATATATATATATAAAGACCAAAGTCACTGTAGATAGGAAGCTGTCATCCAGGCCAACTCAGACACTACTGTCGTCGATGCCCTCTACACATCCAGCCATTGCTGCCACTGCAGGTGGCTTCACAGAGAGAGAGAGAGAGAGAGAGAGAGAGAGAGAGAGAGTACTGGGGATGATATATGAAATCTTTATGCACAAGACTTTAATTGCCATGATGGATTCAAAATCATATGCGAAATACGCATACGCGCACGCCCGGCTCGTTCTTGATTAACCTAAAAAATCCGGAGGAACTAGCCATTTTGAATGATTGAACCTGTGTAAGATCAATTTAAAAAATGAATTGACAAGGGATCATGCGTGGGAACACGAGGACGAGAGAGATGTGTGTCCAAGCGATGGAACTAAACTCAAGAGTCACGATTGTGATTTCATGTTTCCGATACATTCGTCTGTTAATCATCTCCCAATTGGCAAAGCACTATATGCACGTGAACGGGAGTAAACCTAGATACACGACGTGTGCATGACGTCAAAATGAAGGGCTAATATGTGCCAACTGTTCCTGGGGGCTACCAAAAGTAGGCGCTCTTGATGGTGCATGAATTATTTCATCTGAATACACATCGCCGTGTAGAGAGTGAATGCAGAAAATTCATAAAAAAACAAAAAACACAAAATCAAATTCCAAATTTCACTTTCTTTACAAACCCTAAAGCCCCACTCACATGACAGGTGTCAGAAATCATACCCGGAAATTATTATGAGGAGGGCTCTAACGATGGATGCCCCATATGAGTTTTCTTTTGTTTTATTTATAGCATAAGGTCGATGGTCCAAGGAGAAGGGGATGCAATTAGACAACTTTTTGCATTATTATCCTGATCAGATAGATACTGCAGAGGAACGCTTTTCGAGACGGATCAGGTTCTTGCGATGCTGCTCTGCTCACTGGTTTCATGTGCTGGACCAAATTATAGCTAACCAACTTTCACGAGCAAAGGAACCCTTTTTTTTTTTTTTTTCCATTTATCTATTTTGGAGGAATTATGCAAGTGCATTGCAATTCGATTTCGAAAAAGCGAAGAATCTGAAAAGAAGAAAAGGAAAATCAGAAGAAGAAGAAGAAAGAGAAATTTCTAGGTGCAATTTGGTGATATGATGCGGACCTTTTGTTAGGTGACATTTATGGCGCATCGAATAGGTCAAGGCTAGAGAGCCAAACTATGCGGCACTGTTCACACTGAGAGGACGATAGAGATCTCATTGCATCACGCTCGTTTCCCATTAGGTTTTTGCTGTGATTGGTATGGACGGTGAAATAGTTGCCCTGTGCTAAGAAGTTGTCCCAATAGCAAGACCATTTTTTAGGACGAAAAGTTAATTTCTTTCTTCTATGAAATGGCTTGCAACCAGTTATTGACCCTGACGCGCTAGATCTCGTCGTTACCAGCCAAAGACATAGTTGTAGTAGCGGTCTAGTCGAGGCCACGGAAAGAGTCCACAACATAGTGATGGATGATACTAAATGAGCGCGAAGGGCATTGTTGGCGAGTTTGGGCAAGGTTACGGAGTTAGAAAGCTGAGCTCAACCCTAATAGGCCTGAGCCAAGCTCCATCTAACCCAAAAAACTATATATAGAATTTTAAGATAGGTGGTCTTGGACGACAGTATATGATTGACCTAAGAGCCAGGACTAGACTGACTAATGATCACATCGAGGGGTGACCGGTCGAATTAGGTGGTCGCGATGGCGATTTTGCTTGAGACGGAGACGGAGACGACATTCCGATGGCAGCGATGGTGGTGAGGGAAGGAAATTGGCTTTTCAGTTGTGTTTATAATTAGGGTTTCGATTTATAAATTCCTAACGTGGCTGTTCACTGTTAGGTGGAGACCTGTTGAACTTATGTCCACGTTTTCTAGCACACTTTTCTAAAAAAATCGGGGCCTATCTTGAATATGTGGTGGTGGTTACTGAGAATACCTCACTAAAGCAGGGGAAGCAGAAGCTTTCGACTAGGGTTGTCTCGTCTGTTTAGGCGTATACACCCGACGGGCTGATAGGACCGCATTCATTATTTTAATATACCGGTACCCGCACGCCTAGCCCTCAAGTTAGGTAGAAGTTTTTCTTCCCTCTCCTTAGGGATTACTTCCGAATTTAACGTCCAAGAGTTCAGATGAAGCAGTTTTAGGACTTACTCAGGTCCACAAGATGGCCGGAACAATGTCTACAAATTAAGAAACTGAGAAATTATTGCATGATCGTGACCTGTGGAAAACTACATTTAGAACATAGAAAATTGTGAGAACCCACAAACAACACAGAGCCCACAAGATCGACGGGTTCAATAACATTTTTAACGTGTCACACTGCCTTTCTCCCAAAAACCTAATGATTTTTCTTTGTAAATAATTATTGATTATATGCAAGGATTTGAATCACCGAGATTTTCAAAAAGGAAGAAGTAATAACAAGATCATTATCTGCACACCTAATACAAGCAAATTCATTTCCAGAGGCATTACTCATAATTAGACCTGTCAAACGGGTGGATCGGATCGAAAATGGTTTGATCCAAATTGATCTATTTAATCCGTTATGACTTATTTTCATACAATACAAATTTAATGACGTATATCCGGCCCAACCTTTATCCGATCCATATTGCTAACACTTCCACATTTTACCATATTTAGGAAAATGCATACCCAAACTAAGATGAGAGCGCGGAATGAGCGAGCGCGAGATCGAGTGAAGGCGAACAAGAGTCATAAAAGTGGGTTGGCTATAAGTAAATTGTGAAATTATTTAACACCTATATTATTTAAGGCTTAATCATTCTAAACCTATTTATTAAATATGACTAATCTATTTAATAATTCAGTCAATCAAATATGGGTTAAGAAATGGGTTTGTGAATTATTTTGACATATCTACCCACAATGCAACTAGGAGTAGTAAAACTACGGCCCAAGAAGAAGATCGCGCTATACGAAGCAACGATTCACACCAAGCCATATGTATCAAGTTCGGTCTAACGAATAAGGAGCCGGGTTTGCTTTACAAGGACTTGCACGAGAGAATTGCACTATGCCATCGGGAACATTCATAAGGCTTAAGTATCAAATTCATAACAATTGTCTGACAAGTGGAAATTACTGGGGAAAGGCAGTCAGCCCCATTCAAGCTTAACGCGCCATACCAATATTATCCGCTCTTATCACTGCTCATTCATGCCTTCAAAAGGCACCAAATTAGCTTGAGGTTGCGCGGGACTTATCCATCAACGCAACAACCCTATCTACGAGCGACGTGGGGGTATAGAGGCATACCTGATGTCCGG